TTTGCACATTCGTAGTGGCAGTTGAATGCGATTTGGCCTATACAATGACTTGCGGGGCCAGCCGATGTACAAGTCAGTGTTTTTTTTTATCCTCCCAGACAAGTCTGGTACCAATTAACCGACCCCGGAGGGATGGAAGGCTTGGTTGGCCCGGGCGACTCACGACCCAGGATTTGATCCCCGGACCGCTCGCGTGGTAAGCGCCACTTGTCCACTACACCACTTCCGCCCTTTGTTTTATTTGGCATTTTTCATATTCCAGAACTGTTTGTACAGTTACCTTACCCGAAAGGCAGTGTACTATTTATTGGAAGGGTAATTTTTGTAGGAGAATAGAGATTGTGGGAAAAAATAAACAAAAAAGAGCGGAGTCACACGCAGAGGCTGTCGTCAGTGTGTTAAACAATGAATTATGGGCCTACCCAGTGTAAAAACGGGCGTTTTTGAGCTTCCTAGCATCCCTGGTACGAAGTAACCGACTCCGATGGGGTCGACAGGTTTCGGATCGGGATTTGATCTCTGGACTGAGCACGTTGAATGCGGCGCAGCACGACACCACTTCCGGCCAATGAGTACCCTACAGGTTTATACGCAAGTAATGATAAAATAATGGCTGGAGGTGGCGTTGCGGAAAGGTGCGCTATTTCTAATGGAATCAAAGAAGGAGGATCATCATCAAGGATCAAAGTCTCTCTAAGGCATCTGAACCTTCCTAACCTTTCATCATTTGTTGACAGGCAGTTGAAAAGTCCAGAGGAAGTGAAATACTGACCTAACTTCCGCTAGTCATTTATCTCATCATGTGAAGAAATGATTTGCCAACTATGCGTATTAATCCAAGTCGCATGCATGGCGTTTCCCAAATGCAATGAGCGACTACCACATTTTCCACCGAATAGTGTTTTCTTTGTAAAAAAAAGTATTAAAAATTTTGAAGAATTTGAATTTAATTTTTTAAATTTTTGAAACCTTTTTCTACACAAAAATACTATCCGGAAACCTCTTTGGCGAATTTTTTAATGAAATGCCAAACGTGTTTGAATCGCACTGATGGAGATAGATTCAACCCTATTGTTCCATATATGTAGGATATGAAGGGACTCGTGAGCCCAGGTACATGTCTGACCCGACGTTGTTCTCTTCAGGAAAATTCATTAGAAGAAATATTCGACAGTCTCACAATAACCTCAGAATGTCGAAACGCTTAATAATTCTGCTCGCGTTTCATTTCATAGACTATGGTAATGTGATGTGCAAGTGATAAGCGGCAATAGAATCTGCTTTATGTCTCCTACCCAGCCTAAGATTACATTCTTATACATATAAGGACTATTTTAATGGTGAACTAAAAACCAATTTGTACTGAATGTGTTTCTGTCATTGCGTGGCTACAGAAAAGCGCCGGTCTGTTCCCGCTACGAGGAACACCGCGTCGAAAATGCTGCGTCATGCGAGGGGGTATAGCTCAGTGGTAGAGCATTCGACTGCAGATCGAGAGGTCCGTGGTTCAACTCCGCGTGCCCCCTAAGTTTTTGCGCTCTGCTTTGACTTTCGGCAAGGCATATGGTCTTCGCAGATATTACACGGATTTGGAGTTTTAGCGGAGATTTGGGACGTAATCCCTTTAAGTCGAGCCAAAGCCCACTTTTCGCCGTTAGCAGAAAATGTCCCGTAGTGAACTCTATTATTGCTTGAAGGTCTAGATTGAATATATGATGGGCACATTATCAGATCGAATTGCTGCAATGTCATGGGTTTCCCATATTCTTGAATCCCTTTCGTTAGGGGGACCAGATCCTCCTTAAGGAATTACCAATGAATGTAAGTATCCTAAAAACAAGATGGAAAGAACGAAGCACGTACCGCAAGAATCGCTGAGATTGGGTGTAAAATTAGGAAGGGTGACACAGCGTCAAGAATATTGATGGCTTCGGACCTTCTGCTCTTCCTACCTTGTTAATAAATGTGATACTGAGCTTGGATCGCTCTAAAAACACAATGGTCGGAGACTGTCTAGCTGTCCCCGCTTATTTTGAGCCGCTCTTCCCTCTCCAGTTAATATTCCCTTTCCACCACCCCCCCCCCCAGCTCACCCTTCTCCTACCGTCAAGGAATCTTAACCCGATACAAGAAAATTCACATGTTTTTCAAATCGTTGAGAAAGGTGCCGGGTGAAATGTCACAGTTCGAGTTTCGTGGGGGATTGCTCGCGTTCACAACTGCTACCTTCGGAACAAGCAAAAAGACGTCGGTACCTGGCAGCGGAAATAAAGACAGAAATTAGTGGTTAAACTTGTTCACCGACACCCCTGAATAACATGTCTACGTTTTCAGAAGCTGATATTGGATCAGGCTGGATGTGGGTGAAAATGGAAATCTGTGGTATGTAAAGGTGGACGTGGCGCTCTCGAGGAGAGGCGCCTGTAGCGTCGTGACAAGGCTTTGCTGGCTCCTTTTAAGGTTTTCTTACCGACGCTCGCCGTCGGCCCAGTTGACCTAGTAGTTGATCACTAGCTATTCTAGGTCAACCGTGGCGCGCAGGTCTCGAATGGAGAATGCATTCGATTCTTTCTAAGGGGGAATCTATCAGTGTTGGTGAAGCTCAAGTTAAAAAGGGGGGAAGGAGTGATTTTCGGAATTGGGCAAATTGTGGTAGCAGAAGTAGTCGTTTAGCGGATTTTTATATTTACCCATCCTATTTACCTCCCCCCTCTGCTAATACCTCGGACGGCGTTTTGGATGGAAGGCGAGTACTGGGCGTGATACTAGCGTCTCAGGTCTCAGAATCAATACAGAGGAACAGCCATGTGATGAGAATTGTCGGGCGATTAGGGAAATGGCGGTCGCATTGTAGGAATCTCCTCAGGCGAATTGTGAGAGTGAAGTTGCCCTGCCCACAAAGGAGGGGTGCCGCAAAATTTTTTCGGTATTGGGACAACGGAAGGCTAATCTACAGCGGTCGTCGTAGGTTCTTTTGGAGAAGAGATTGCCAATGCGCTGACGCAGCATCCACAATCCTTCCAACACGAAATCGACAGGCGAGTGTTCTTGCATGGGTTGAGGGCGCTACCTTTGTTTTTCTTCACCCCAGCACCGTCTATACCACCACAAATTCCATTTCCCAGTGGGCGATCAGGTAATGGTAATCTGCCACCAACTAAGCGCCAGCAATGAATTACCCTTTGAATATAGCTTACAATAGCTTGTTTTGTTTCTAGACGAGGCCAAAAGATATGTGTATAGGAAGAACCCTAACTGGGCCAATGACCAGTTTTCGAAACTATCAAATTCTAACAACCTCTTACCTTCTTCACATCCTTGGCTTCTGAGCCATTTTTGGATGCCTCAACACTTCCCAGGGGGCTTGCAGAACGTCCCTTTGTCAAGATGGGACGACTGGAAGCCGACGGTTCCAAACAGAATCCAGAAAATTTTTTCTTTAGCCTAGGAAGATATATCAAGTAGAGAAGTTCACCGTGATAGATGATTTTTGATGTAATATTTGAAATAAATAACCTTGTCAAACGCAGGATTCGATCGCCTCCTAGGGGTGTCTGGGGAAGTGCTCCCGGGAGATATTGATGATGGCGATGGGATTGATGCCGAAGACTGCGACGGCGACGGGGACGTCCTCCCAGATGTCGGACTCTTGCTTCTGAAACAATCACTTGTAGTCAAAACACAGTGGGATACAGTTAACCACGTAAGTCTGGCGTATTGTTCCTTTGGGAAGTGATAGGGGGGTAGAAGAAGTACGGGTGGAGATGGTGGATTTCATTGATCGAAGTGCGAGTTATTGAGGCAGGGTGGAGGGTTATGCTGTCCTGAAAAAATCGTCAACTGGTACAAGAAGGCAGTAACTTTTGTAATTAATGTATTCGTGATAAAAACCTTGTCGAACGCAGGATTTGATCGCCTCCTAGGGGTGTCTGGGGAAGTGCTCCCGGGAGATATTGATGATGGCGATGGGATTGATGCCGAAGACTGCGACGGCGACGGGGACGTCCTCCCAGATGTCGGACTCTTGCTTCTAAAACACATCTGTAAGTCAAAAGCGAACATCCGGATTCAGCTAACCCACCGGAAAGTCTCGGGTATGTTCACTTTGTTGAACGTGTAAGGCGGTGGTAATAGAAGTCTTTGGAGATGGTGGGATTTCATTGATCGAAGGAGGCTGAGTTTTGGGCAGCGGTGGAGGGTAATCTGTCCTGAAAAGAAAACCGTCAACATTAACGGAAAGAAATATTTTTCACTGGTTATCAGGCAATTTCAGTAGAGAACTGAGGGGCATTTTTATCGAAAAGTAATCACTAGAGAAAATTCTGCAAAAGTAGCACGATCTGGGCTTGGTGTCTCGTTTAGGCTATCAGTTCATAGCTAATACTTACCTCACACGGATCTCTTCGCCTACAGACTTACGCGGTGCACGAGTCTTTGGTGGAGGTTCGGCAACTGCGACTGGTTCGCGGGGTATGGGACTTTGAGTTCTGGCACGTTCGATTGATGATGGCTCGTGCAGATTAGTAGTACTGCGGCTTCGCATTTCCGAATGCGCTCGTTCATTTCTATCCAACGGCACATTCACTAAAAATATTCAATTTGAAAAAACCCTTGAACTGTACCAGTAATACCGGTATTTGCGGTATGTCCATCTCCATTCGGACCTTTCGAGTTCATTGAGAACGAACTT